TCGGCTGTTTTCGTGGAGACTGTCTCCACTCGTTTGTTAGCTGGAATCATTTTGTCTTCAGCAATCTATGCCATGTGGTGAGTGAAATCTTAATTTTTTTAACTTATTTCTAAAAGCTGTGGTGAGTGAAATCTTAATTTTTTTAACTTATTTCTAAAAGCTGTGGTTCGTTTCATGAGTCTTGAGACATGTGACTGTTTCACATGGAGGTTCTTGCAGGCTATTTGCCTGCATGGGCTCATAGTTATATCTTCCAATAAAATGATGGCAACCATCTCTCTTTCAGATTTTGATACGGGATAGCCCGAAAAATGGCTTGGGCAATAACAATATGTGACGTATGATTCCAAGACAATAGTTAGTTGCAGTAGATAATTGGTCTTTGCTATCACTGTTTCATATGCATTGTTGATTGTTGATCACTTCATTCGTCCATGTTATGAGAATATACATTACTCTATCAACGACGTGGTGGTCGAGAGGTATAAAGCCAATAGTCTAAGCAGGAGGTCCAGGTTTGCTAACCTTGAGGCTAATTCAGAGAGTTTAACTGAGGTTTTTGGGTAATCCCATACCTTAGATGAGATCCAGTTTGATGGGTTGATTGGATCACTTGCTCTTCGTTGGGATTTTGGGGATGGGAAGATTGTTAGAAGAAGAATAACAATTATGTCTCAATCCGAACATTTTATAATGGATGATACTCCCAACGGGTGTCCATAGGGAGTAACCCTACTGGTAAATTTTCCTCTATTTTTTCAGGAAAAAGGAAGAGACTTTCCACTTAACTATGACATTATGGGCATTCTGTATAATTTCAAAATTTCTTTAGGTTTTTCTGTAATTCACGACTAAAGTTTTTGCAGCTTCCTCCAAGTAATCAATAATAATGAGTCGGACTGGTTAAACTTCTTTTCTGGGACTTCATTCTTTCCTTTGTGATTCGATATTGACTCTGAATTTGCAAATCTTCACAGGCTTGTGCTATTCTAAAGGGGGCGAGCAATCTTGGTGCCGATTCATATGCAGTGGCTTCTCTTGCATGGGTTCTACTGATTCTCGTTTTGGGTTTCTTTGTACACGTGTTGGACAACGTTATTGATACCGTATATATCTGCTATGCAATAGATAAGGATCGAGGAGAAGTCTATAAACAGGAGGTGCACGAAGTTTATGTGAACCTACCGATAAGTAGAAACCAGAGATTTCATTTTGCCCCTACGCCGCTGGATGTGTAGATGTTGTCGAATGTGAATTCTGGGTTTTTCTTAACTTGTGTTTGTGTTGCGAGTTGTTAAATTATGATTGCTTGGTAGCAAATTGTGCATATACTCACTTTCAGTGATTTACCTTGTACAAACTTCTGAGGATTGTGCAATAAAAAGAGCTAAAATTTCAGAGAACTTAAGTGAGGGATGATTATTGATTGTTGATTGTAACCAGACGGTGATGCAGGGGTTTTAAAGCATGGATTTCAATATATTCTTATATCCATATTCACTTTACAATTTTAATCATCTGGAATTTATCATCTTGTAATAAGTTATTTTATATAAAATGTCTGATTGTATCTTTATTGATAATTTAGTAAGAATTAATTACTAAAATTCAATAACTAAAATCTCTATTAAATTACTAATCAAAATATAATAACTTATGAACATTCACTCAAAATAATTTCTCATCGTCCTTTCTCTCTCAAAAGATTACTAATAAATATGGCAAATCTGGAATTTCCAAATATACTGAGGTCGAAGAAGTAGAATTCAAGGGTAGAAAAGAAATTCCTGAAAATTTGAGTGGCAAGAAGTGATAAAACAAACGATTCGGGGGGCATAAACGCAAAGATTGAAAGGTAATTAAATTCCTTCCCTCTATATATAATGTAATACGATTACACAACTAAAAATCCAAAATTTGCCCGAGCTTTGAGTACCTTCTCTTCCACGATAATAAAGGTCTCAGCTTTCTGAAAAACCAATGGTTCTCGAGGTAAGAAACGGGATGACTCTCTGATAATGTCTTTAGTCGATTAATCTTCTTTCATTATACTTTGTTCTTAATCCGAATAATCGAAATTAGGGTTTTAGATGATAGTCTTGTCTTAGTTACTTAATCGAAATCAATTGATCAGGCGACGATGATATGCATTGATAACTCTGAATGGATGCGAAATGGAGACTATTCTCCGTCTCGATTTGAAGCTCAAACGGAAGCTGTTAATCTCATATGTGGAGCCAAAACTCAGGTACTTGGACGGGACTCGTTGTTATATGTATATATGAGGTCCTCTATTGGCGTAATTAGGGTTTTCCCTGGAATTTTGAGTTTAATGTATAAAAAATTGTGGAAATGGCAGTCTAATCCGGAGAACACTGTGGGAATTTTGACAATGGCGGGTAAAGGGGTTCGTGTTTTGGCTACTCCTACCACTGACCTTGCAAAAATATTGGCTTGCATGCATGGTATGCCGTAATTTTCATTTCCTATTTATTTCTTTGGTTTACCCTTGTGTTTGGCATGTTACCTTCACAGCCTGTTTAGGCGGCAATTACAAGTATGGTTTAATCATTTTGATTCTCCAGTCTGTGTAGGTTGCAATTACAAGTATGGTTTAATCATGTTGTCTGTTTTATGATTAAAGGGTTTTTGGCTATGAAAGATTAAGCAATTTGTTACCCTTCTGTTGAGGGTTAGCAGGAATTTGCTTCTCGAGTCTATTAACAAAAGATACGGTTGTTGACAGCATTGACTATCTTAGTTTTGGTGCTGGAGTAGTATTAAGTAATTAACTATTGATGACATTGGCAAATGAGTGCTGTCCCATCTGTTAGAAATTTGTTTTTACCACCCATGTGGCACATTGAAACAAGTACCGGTGCTGTCTTGAACTCAAAAAGGTAAGAACTATAAGGTTTTTGGTTTGAAACATTTTGGTTTTTCAGTTAAACAGATATGCCTTGCAAATTTCAGCAGTTCTTTTATTCGTGTCTTCAGAAGGCAATAGAAAATCAAAGTCCGTTCATTGTCAGTTTTTTTATATTGACATGCAAATAACTGTCTATACACAAAATTTCCCCCCTCATTTTTGTAGGTCTTGACATGGGTGGTGAGTTAAACTTAGCAGCTGGCATCCAGGTGGCTCAATTGGCTCTTAAGCATCGCCAAAACAAAAATCAGCAGCAAAGAATAATTGTTTTTGCTGGAAGGTAGAGTATCTTCTTGTCTTTCCTGTTTGTTTGAATTGGCATCTTACATATTTGTTCGTTGGTTGTGGTTGCAGTCCTGTCAAATATGACAAGAAGGTACTGGAGATGATAGGAAAGAAATTAAAAAAGAATAGTGTAGCTCTTGATATTGTAAATTTTGGGGCAGAAGATGATGGAAAGCCGGAGAAACTGGAAGCCCTTCTTTCAGCTGTTAACAATAATGACAGTAGTCATATAGTTCATATTCCACCCGGACCGGACGCTCTTTCCAATGTGCTTCTCAGGTGGGCTTACTCCTCTTTCTGCCTCAGTTATTTAGTTTCAGTCTGTGGTATTACTGGGAACACCTCAAATCTTTAGCTTGACTCTCATGTATGCTCTCCAGAAAAAAAGATGGTCTTATATATCTATATAAAGTGGCACATAGTTTTAACGAGGGTGGAAAAAATTACAGAAAAGATGCTGAAGAGTTTCATAGTAATTGGTTTTTGTGGATTACAGAGCAAATGCTAAGGTGGTGGCTTATTATGTTAGCTAGTATGTGGTTCCGTTCCTGTGTTTGGTGGCTAGCGAATTAAATGGTTACTAACACAAGGGTTCGAGCAATGCCATTAAAAAACATGCATCCTTCTTTCTTATCTTCAAATATGTTAGCTAGTATGTGACGCTCAGTGAATAGTGAATCTTGAAGAGGATAAAGAATATAGTGTTGATGTGTTTCACACTTATGTCAAGTAACACAATTATGGAAATTGTGACAGCACACCTGTATTTACTGGGGATGGAGAAGGAGGAAATGGCTTTGCCGCCGCAGCTGCCGCTGCTGATGGACACTTTGATTTTGGTGTAGATCCCAATATAGATCCTGAGCTGGCTCTTGCACTTAGAGTGTCCATGGAAGAGGAGAGAGCAAGGCAAGAAGCTGCTGCCAAAAGGGCTGCTGAGGCTGCTGCTCAACAAGAGAAAGGGGAGGAATCATCTTCCAATTCGCAGGATGTAACAATGGCTGAAAGTGGGCACCCTGTTACTGCTGAAACAACAGAGAAAAACACTGATCGAATGGTTATACTCTCTGTCTAATGCTTTTACTGCTTTGAATGTTACCTTTTCTCATCATTGAATGCGTTATAAATTGGTGCTTTCTTTTGGTAATGGATTTTGATATAGAAGATTTTGGCAGGATGAGGAGAAAGTCGTACTGGATCAGGCTCTGGCAATATCAATGGATATCCCTAGATCCGATCATTCCATGGGTGATACTGCTAATGAGGATCCTGAGTTGGCCTTGGGTAGGTTCTTCGGCATTTATTTTATAAGGATGCTTGTTCAGCACTCTTTACTCCTGGTTATTGAAATTTTATCCACAATATGCCTGGATCACACCCATCAATATCGTTAATTTTATTGGTGTGTTTTCTGTACATGTCCAAAGTGCAAAAATCCTAATCCTTCAAAGTAAGGTTTTGTTACTCCTGGACATTCTTCTGGACCCAAACAAGGACTAGATAATTTTTCCCTGAATTATCTTGACTACATTCCCTATCTAAGCAGAGAGTTTTAGTTGACTTGTACTTTAAATTTTTGCTGATAATGCATTAGTCAGCTATGAACCTTCAAGGTGTACTGATTTCTTGGTTGCCTGCATGCAGCTCTTCAAATGTCCATGCAGGAAAGTGCTGAAGATTCATCAAACCAGTCAGATGTTAGCAAGGTCCTGGGAGATCAGGCGTTTATGTCATCTATCATTGCATCTGTAAGTTTGCTTGAATCTGAATTAACAATTTCTTGAGTAATAACTTTTTTAATATGTTCCCTTGTACCCTGACTTTATTGTTTGCAGCTTCCTGGAGTTGACCCGAATGATCCTTCAGTTAAAGAGTTGCTTGCATCTTTGCAAGGCCAATCTGAGGTTTGTTCCTGAAAACTTCACGGACTATCATGCCACTAATCTCTTTCTTTATGTGCCTTCAGATGTTTAAATTTCTCTTCAAGTTAGCTGGTAAGGATTGCCTTTTTTGTAACTTACTCTATTTTCTTTTTGGGGCAGTCCGAACAAAAGGAGGAAGAACCATCAAAAGATGACAAGTAAAAGCTTGGTTTATTTTAATCAAGATGGCTTTGGTATGTACCTTCTAATGAATATTGATGATGCTTCACTTTGTTTGTGGCTAAGGAGGGCATTCATCATTTATGCTCCTAAAACATTTGTAAGCCAACAGGCCGGTGCTCTAAAACTCAAATGGGTATGGTAATGATTTCTTAATGTAGTTTGGCTATACTTCAAATCATTATGAACTCTCCCTTCCCCTTAGGGTTATATTTGAAACAAAAAAATTCAAAAAAAAAAAAAAAAAGGAAGGAAAAATGCACATGTATATTCATTTCTGTTGACATATTTACCTTTTGGAACAAATTCATACATTTTTTTGGTTTTTATTTGCATATCTACATATAATAAAACTATGATGGTAAAAAGTTAGTCTTTAAAATCATAAAAAAAGTGATTTTATCTGAATTTTTATGTGGAACTAGAATAATGTATTTTAAATTTTGTTCTAATTTTTTACATCAACACTAATATGAGGTTAATTTTATAAATTTTTTTTTGAATTTTAAGTTATTTTATAAATTCCTATATATACGAAAAACAAAGCCTAGAAGGGTAAGTATTTGTTCAATGAAATACACATTTGTTTTAGAGTTCATGTGTTCCAAACAAAAATACCAATTGAATGGTCCAATGATATTTGTTACAAATTCTATCTTTGTTTTTCTAGATGAAATTTTTACTATCACAATTAAATTTAGTGTAAATTTTCAAATGAATCAATCAAAATTACTTATTTGTTTATGAGAATAAGTAACCATAAGATGCATATATAAATTGACAACCATATATGAATACAAAATTTTTGTAGAAGAAAATTATATAATAAAATTTGAAGTGTACTAATTATATCTATAAAAATCTGTCAACCTATATACGATCCTAAAACACCTAATGGTTTGTTCTTAACAAAATCATTGTACTTAATCTACGAGATTATCCCACATCAAAATTTGAAGATGTTACAATAACTTCCTCTCTTGCTGCATACTTTTTCTTTAGACTTCTCTCTTACTGCATACTTACAAGGGAAAAAAGCTGAAACTTTTCCTGGAATGAAAATGTTGAAGTGCAGGGGACCAAAGAGGATGCTACTAAACCAATATGCCATTACAAGACCTTGAATGAAGCATCAACAATTTTCTGCACCCTTAAACTTACCCCACAAGAAATGGGCAACTCCTGTGCCAAGTATCCTACCCACTCAGAGACTAACTGAACCCTGCCCTTACACCATAGAGACAACAGACCAACCAAACTTAGCTGGGCCTGCCTGCTCACCTTTCCACTAGTGGCTACAAATTAAGCACTTCCCCTAAATCTTTCAAAGCTTACTTTTTACTCACAGATTAAGCTGCACCACCAACTAGAATGCTTCCATTAAGAAGAGGTTAAGAGGATAGCTTCAAGATTCACGGGTCCAAACTGGCCATTAAGTCTTACAACCACACCTTGGATTCTCACTTTCCCTATTGGGTTTTAGTCATTAGTGAGATCTTAGCTTCTTGGGTTATTATAATTTTACTGGCTATTACAATTTTTTTTTTTTTTTTGTTTTATAATAAAATAAAAGTAAAAAAGAAAGTTTTGGAACACAGAGTTGTGGGATTATGGTGGGATGGTTTTGGTTTTGGGGTTAAGTAGTAGGGACACCCCTTCACATGAAGGCTACTGTCTCCTCTCCCTTTCCATATCCGGTTTCTTCTATTAGGCTGTTATGTTCCAGATTTTAGTGCTTGTATTCTTCTTCCTCTTTCAACCCTATTCTCTCTCTGTGTCACAGCGACATCGTTCTGTTATTATAAATATTTTTCATGTTTATCTTGAATGGGAGTCTTAGGTAATGGGTATGCAAGATTATTATCTTTTTATAGAATATATACATATATAATAATAATTGAATGGATGGGTGTGTTGGCCCCCCATCTTCTATGTTTGCTTTAGACTATTTCATGGGAAAAAACGACAGAGCTTGGGAATGTGAAATCTTGGACTTTCATGGCTGAAATAATATAACTAATATTCGAAAATTAGATCTTTACTGATCTAGTACTACCTTCTAAGTAATTGATCATATATAATTATAATGATAAACTGATTAGAATCTGGAGAGATGATCGGCAGGATACATCCAATAGTAAGAAAATATAGCAAACTTTGAACACTTTACATCAACCACTCTGATATACTATGATAAATAATTTCTTAATCTGATTATATATATATATATATATATATGTATGCATGTTCTTTAAAGTTCTTGAACTGAACTGAAATCTGAATCCAGTTCCTGTTCACTTAAACTCCTTTGCTTTCACGCAAAGGGACTTTTTGAGTAACACAAAGATGGATAGATGGGGATGTAGGTGTTTGATCCGAGATGGGACCACCGTTTTTTCTTCTTGCCTGGTGTTTTTCTATGACTTTTACCCCACCAATGCGTAGATACATACATACACACACATATATATATATATTCATATCCTGTAACCTGTATCAGTCTCCTGTTCTTCTTTCTTTTTCCTTGGGAAAAACATGGATTTCATTACATATTTTACACACAAGGGAAATTTTAAACACCCAAATTGATAGCAAGCTGAAAAAAATAAAAAAGATGATAAGTTTTTACCTTATTACACATGAAGAAAGTTTTACAAATATCCAAGCATGTATATATGTGTGTGTGTGTATATATATATATATGTAATGTTCATGTGTAGGCTGTATCAACTTTTCCTATCAACATCGACCATTATACTGATTTGTAAAAGGAATTTTCTATAAATTTTTGTAATTTGACATTATTTACATGAATAGAAATACGACATTGACGTAAAAATAAATAGGTAAAAATCAATGCATACATATATATATATATATGTGTGTGTATATATTATATAACCCATAATTATATTAGGTTCGAGTTGGTGAAGTCATTATTCTTAATGGATTATTGGGTTCAATAATATCTTTTTGTAATGGGAAGCTGTAAAATTATTGAAAGTCAAAAATTCTGAAATTTTGGAAAAAATATTCGAAATAGCTCAACACATATGGACACACACACACACACACACACACACACACACACACATATATATATATATATATGTATGTATGCATATAGATTCATATATATTGCAAAATCTGAAATGGATTACCTTCAATTTTCTAATTATTTTCTAATTGAAATCGACAAAAGCTGAGATTTATCTTTTCTTTTAATAAATAAATGCTGCCCTCAACAATAAATTTTGTATAATTGTGATTGATTTATTTTAAATTTTCCTTAAAAAATCAAAAAACAAATTAAAATATATTCAATTACATTTATAAAATTTATCAACTCATATGTATTTTAATTAATTTTAAATACTTAATTTTTTTAATGTAATGTATAATTAAATCGTAATTTAATACTTAATTTTATTTTTATAAATTTTGAATGAAATTAGAATAGAAAGAAATTAATCTAAAAGAGTATTATAGAATTCGTTCCATTCAATAATTTTTCGAGTTCAAAAAAAAATAACAGATGTATTAATGACCTTATTTAATCAATCAAAATAAAGAAAATAATTATATATACACCTAAGTAAATTTGTATTATTATTTTTTTGTCACGAAATAATTTTCAACACTAAATAATTTTAAAACACATTTAAAACTCGTATTAATTATTAATTATAAAATAATTACCTATTTAAGATAGTAATATTTTACTTTAATAACATCAAGAGTATTTGGCAAAAAATTTAAAAAATAAAATTACTCCGGTGGTGCATGCATTAGACATTATATAAATTATAAAGTTCCTCGTATAAAACCCTAATTCTTATTAAGAATTTTTAATTCCTTATTAGGATTAATTAATTACTCGACATGTCTGCATACACAAATTTATATATGTGATAAGAAATTAATAATTATTGGTACTAAAATTTTATTGCCACTAGCCTAGATATAGAGATCTACAGTGGCAAAGTTGTAATTATGATCAAACTCAGTGGCATTTATAGATTTTTATCTTTATATAAGCTCCCAGAAAATTCAGGCCGCCATCATCATCACACCATTCACAATCAAATTTCAAGCTCAGAAAGTTGAAGTCTTCGGCTCAGCAACAATGGCAATGGCTTTCAAGATGGTATTTATTCTTTATTAATTTCCTCCTTGTTATAATTAATCAAATTAATTAATTAATTAATTACACCTTTGATTTGATCGTAATCAAATAATTAGTATTGATCACTGTAGGCGACTACTGGGATGTGGGTGACCGACGAGTGCAAGAACTCGTTCATGGAGATGAAATGGAAGAAAGTTCACAGGTACATAGTGTTCAAGATCGATGAGAAATCGAGGCTGGTCACCGTGGACAAGGTGGGCGGAGCTGGCGAGAGTTACGATGATCTCACGGCATCGTTGCCGGAGGACGACTGTCGGTATGCGGTGTTCGATTTCGACTTTGTCACCGTTGATAATTGCCGGAAGAGCAAGATCTTCTTCATTGCTTGGTTTGTGTTGCCACTCTTAATTCTTTTCTTAATTTTGGGTAACATGATTCATCAATGATAATAATTTGGTTAAGTGGGTAGAGGACACAGGTCGCCAAAATTACAAATTTTAATAATCACCAAAATTAATTATTGAATCTCAATTAGGTAGAGGGGTTTAATTTAATAATATTGAATTATTTATTTTAGGTCACCAACGGCATCAAGAATAAGAGCAAAGATATTATATGCAACATCAAAGGATGGGCTGAGGAGAGTGCTGGACGGGATTCACTACGAGGTGCAGGCAACAGATCCAACTGAGATGGGCATTGATGTGATTAAGGACAGGGCTAAGTAATTAATTAAACATTAAAAGGGATTAATTTAATTACCTAATTAATTAGTAAATTAGAGTTTTAGCTAAATGGGTTTAAGGGTATCTTTGTCTTTTCATTAATTAATAATAATAATAATAATAATAATTAACCCCCCCCAAATTATCATGTATGTTTTTCCCTTTTCTTTTTTGGTTGTTGTTATCCTTTGAATTTTTGTTTTGGCACTAATGTAATTAAGTCATATATTAAAAGAAAAAGAGTCTAATTTGTAATAATAATAATAATAATTACTATTATTAATGTGCCTTGCATACTAATCTAATGACAAAGAACCTTTTGATTAGATGTTTTTCTTTCTTTTTCTTTTTCTCTTTTCTTTTTCTTTTTTATTGATTTAAAGGAAAAGAGATTAGTTGTTGATGTGATAATACACTTCTTTAATGAAGTGTATTATTGTGTTTGTAAAACAATGGAGCCCAACAGAAAATATTCGAGTACCAAAAGTACTTTCCTTCTATATATATATAGCAAATGCATGTATACATAATACATAAATATGCATATCCATACATGTATATATACAAATTCCTCTATATTTAAAAAAGATTTACTTAATTGGTCTATTTTTAAGAAAAAAAAAAAAAGGATAATGCTTGAATTTTTTACTCTTTCCATCTTTCAATTTTACTCTTTAAATTGATCAAATGTGAGTTTTCCTTTTATCAGAATTAACGTTTTTTTTTTTTTCATTTGGACCCCAATTCTCATATAGAAAGTTAGTATGTAAATATAATATAAAATGTACAAATAAAATTAATTTTATCATACACTAATATGTAATATGATTAAATGTTGAGGGTTGCATAAAATAAGATATGATTATGGAAAGAAAATATAACAAATTATACACAGAGTAATAATCTCGGATTGGAAATTGTAAGTGGAATATTGATGGACCCCCTAACTCCTATTCTTAGTTTGGGTACACATCCAATCAAATAGGACATGATTGATTTTCTGATAATAATAACAAAATGACTTTGACTGCAATGCTCCTCAACAAAATTGAAATAGAGAAATTAAGCAAAACAATAAATAATAAAGAACAAAAACAATAGTCCTACATACATATATATATATATATATGCGTGCGTGTGTGTGTGTGTGTATAATGAGAATATGACACTAAATTTTGAGAGAATTAAAACAATATGATATGATGCTGATGGGGTCATTTGATTAATTTAAAGCTTTGATTAATCCGAATATTCTTCTTTATCTTTTTTTCCTCTGCTAATTAACCTTGATTTTTGGCAACCTATAACTTTAATGATTATAAATCATTTGAATTTTACCCATATGAAAATTTTCACTTGGGTTGCCAGAAAAAAAAAAAAAAAAAAAAAGAGAGGGTCACGAAGTCTTATCTTTTATCAATATCGTTTTACATGCTGTTCTGTAATTTTACCGAACATGAACATCATTGTTCTCAAGATCATGAAAGAAATAAATAAGTGTTGTGCTGTCTTCTAATTATACTTAATTATTGAATTTTTTTAATTATTTAATATATAAAACTTAGCTATAATTATACGTCTGACGTATAATTATAATTATATTGTAAATTTCATTACAATCTTTAGATAATTGGCGGCTGGTTTTAGGAAAATTTGAAGCTATAATGATTTTAATATATCATGGACATCAAAAACTAGCGTAGATTCAAAATCAATATTCTTCCAAATGTACTCTCGAAATTAATATTGTGAATTTTCAAACACCGTGAGTAATTTTATTCAAGAATATGTAGTGGATTTTCAATAAATTGGAATGGTCTTATAAATTCTAAATACCAAATTTTTACATCTTATAAAAATTTAGTCTCTGTTCATCCAATGTCTGTCTTCTAAATAGTCACTAGTACAAAAATTATATAACTCCTCATAACTCATAATGTAAACTTTGCCCCTTCTACTTATTGCATTCTTATACAAGTACCCTCAAACGCCATGACTAAAAGGTTTTACTAACGAGCAAATAAACAATACTGAACATCTCAGTAAATTTTGCAGAAACTACCAATTCTAGCACAATGCGAAACAAAGCACTAAATCACTTGTTAAAAAAATTAAGAGTTAATGGTGGCACCAAATTCATTATTCACATGTATGTATATTTTACTAGTTACCCTTTTTTTTCAATATATTTCTCCTTAAGTACCAATTTTTTAACCGAGTTCTTTAAATATTAATACAAATATCAATTTGTGCATAGCCTATCAAACTCGCGAAGTGCAACGCGACCAACTCCCCGACCGCCAAACCATTCAATAGCTTCTCCAGGACGCCAAGAATCATGAACAAAATATAGCCAAATCCAATAAAGAAATAGAAATATATATATATATATATATATATGAAAAAAAAATATATAACCTTTTAGAAAGTGGTCCAAGTGATCAATGTCCAAACAAAAACCTCAAAGCAGGATAGCAGTAAATAAGCTGACCATACAACCAAGAAACAGTCATATGGATCATCAATTGATGAAAATATGAAGCACAGAAAAAAAGCTATTCCGTAACAGGCATTTACTTGTGTATACACTCTGACTATTACTACTCCAGCATCTCAGCCTATTATATAGATGCTGGTCCCATTTTAACCCATTGTTATATCCCCCACAATTATATTGAACTAACGCTGGAACGATATTGAATAGGAACCTGTGTTTGGATCTTTAACAGCTTTGAAGTTGTCGACACTCATTCCAAAACGACCCAGAATGGAGTTGCCCATGTCTTTCAGCTTTGCTGTTCAAAGAAAAACAAGATTGCCTGGTTAATAAGTAGTCAAGAGGGCATACAGATAAAAACAAGATCCTAGACTGTTAGCTCCTCGGAAGTTTTCATCTCTGAAAAAAAGTGTCAATGGCAGCATTTTTTCCTGACACAAATAACCCATTCAAGGGTTGATCAGGGCTCTAGCACAGATGGCCACGTCCTGGCTTCCTTTAGAAGGAAGCTCAGGTTCCACTGCAGCCTGTGTTGGCAGTTCACTATAACCAAAAAAAGAACTTAGCAGGGTTTTAAGGGACTACATTTGCCTGACACTAGGGGCTTTGCCTGCCCTCTACAAAGAGAAAGAAGAGAGAGAGAAAGAGAGAGAGTGTGTTGTCTGCTATATACAATATTGATGATAGAATAAAATAAAAACATGCAAAAAATTCCCAATATTAGGACACTTCTCCTGAGGAAGACTCATAAGCATTACAAACTGTAATTGTGGACCATTTTGCTTTCACTGGACCACTAATTTTCTGAAACAAGAGTAAATGACGATAGTACCCTATGTTTTGCATACACAACAGAACAGATAGGGCAGTACACACAACAGAACAGATAGGATCTGGTCCAGCAGACAAGGATAAGCTAACAACGCATAGTTTAATAAAGAGGATAAATTGATCGCTGAGCAGTGTCAAAACAATACCTATATGTGCTTGTACAGAGTCACTGCAACATAAATAGCTAACTACCCTATGTCACGATGCATGTACGCATTGGGTTATGCCCTTGTTTACCATCCATTTTCATTTCTAATGAAATTGGTGATTTGGCATGGATGAGCAAGAGAATTGATATGAGGAAAATCAGGCACATGGATTCCTAATTGTTTGGACTTACTGAAAACATACTTGTCCAGTTTGGTCTAAATTATTAGTATAAACATAAATAGCAAAATAAATTTAATATTCCCATCAAAAGAACAAACAGCAAGACTCTGAATCCCTGTAGAAGACAAGAAAATATGAAACAGCAGCAAATTATAGCACATACCAATCATCTCCTCCTTCATCTTTTCTCGCTTCTCAGCAGCTATTGGCTCTAGTCGGTGAATGCTCCTTCTGGCCTGGTCATTTGAAGGATCCAGTTCTAATAATTTCTTCATATCTGCAAATTTAAAAAGAAAAAAAAGACAGAGACAAGGTAGCAAAGGAGGCAAAATGAAACGATTCAGAAACATCCTCTCAGCATGAGAACCATAAAAGTAAAAGTGCAGCAGCAGCAGAAATACTCGGACTTGATGTTAAAAAATGATATTATGAGTCTACAATTTCCATTGCAGGTAATGAATTTCAGCACAATGACAATGTGGTAATTCTGCTTCTATGCAGATCAATATGATGTATTAACAATTATATCTGAATTTACCAGCAATGGCCTCTTCATAGTGTTCAAGCTTCTCATGAGCGTCTGCTCTTCTTAGAAGGGCTTTAGTGTATGCAGGATTTAACTCTAATGCTTTTGTGCATTCCTTGATGGTGTCCTCATATTTTCCCTGAGATAAATCCACATTAAATCAAATCTGGAAAATTAATTCAAAGGCGAATTCATCATATAACTGGACTAGTAGAATCAATAAAGAAGTTAAAACAAAATAAACAAAATGGCAAATAAACATTCAAAGTTTCAACAATGTAGTCAAGGTAGGATGAGACGAACTAACATTAGGAATTCGGTTTTTGCACTAGAATTTTCATCCATTCAGTTATCATATTTTCCTTCTATGAACTGGAAGAGAAACTGATATGACAATATACATACTATAAGGACTGAAGAAAAACTCAACAATGTATGGATTCACACTACTCGACTCTGCCATGGAGGAATGAGGACCTAAAGAAGTATATCTTACAATGAAATATGTATTCACTCTTGTTGAAAGCAACATCACAGTTAATGTCCCATAGAGATAACCAAAAGAAGTACAGAGGCAATTGGCATGATTGTATAGATGCGATCAGTGTTTAAAAAAATTACAGCTTTATCCAAACATAAGTTGGCCAATACAAAATCAGAAATGCAAAGCAATCAGTCACGATTACATACCAATTTCAGAAAGCATATAGCTCGGTTTGCATGACACACAGAACGAAGCTCCACAGATGCAGGCATCTCCGGGGCAACTTGTAAAGCAAGCTCATACTGTGATAATGCCTCCTCGTACTGACCATTGCCAAACAGCTTATTGCCCTCAAGTTTCGAGTCATTTGCTTGTGCCAAGGCTTTCTGCATCAGAAGAGGAAGGAACATTGTACATACTTCACCTCCCAATTGTTCCGTAAACATGCTACAGGCTACTAGCAAGCATATTTAGGTGAAACAACATATGCGGTACCACTATCAAGTCTCCCAGTATATAACATGTATGATCTACAGAGGAATTTAGTGAGTCCCAGGGAATCTATATGGAAGACCAGCAAACAAGGTTTTCAAGAACACAAGTAATGCCTACATGCCAGTGATGGAGAAGGATATAAAAATTTGTGTTCGATGAACTACTCAATATTGAGTCTACAAAAAAGGCAGAGCATTGTCCACCTTCTTAACAGGTTCAATATTGTCTTCCTTCCCAGACCTCCCAAGTGATATTTCCTTCTCCAAAATAGCATAGGCTTAACTAAATTTCACAAACCTCCATTTTAATCTTCCATATGCATTCGGAGGAAT